ATTGTGCCTCTGCTTATAATTAGTTAATACACATTTTGAAAGTGAGAAATTGGTGTTGGATTAAATATATTTCGATTCGAATTTGATTAAATATCGTAACATTAACTGTTGAATTGCATTGTACTTCAGTCTAGTAGGCTGAATACGCTGTGGTACGATAGGGTATTAATGACTCTTGATACATGGATGATAGCGTGGGTGGACGCATTGCATCCGTTGGAGGCTCAGCGGAACCGCGGGACACGCAATAGGAGTTCGGAGGTCAAATTCCAAGGCGCGTTTCCTGATGGGGAACCTTCCGTTCACTTCCGCTCTTCTGCTCTGCTTAACTCATTCGAATCGAAAACTTGAGGCAGAGCGCAATGCACTCCGCTCAGCGTAGTTGAGTTGGCTCTGACACTGGTGAAGGGGAGCAGGAGGCATATATTTGGAGCCGACGCGACGCCGCTGGAACGTTCCTCCTTCAATTGAATGCTGATATTAATAACTAACACAGTGCACTTTGTTAATTAACACGATTAAATTTTTATTCTATATTTATATTTTTTCATAAGCCAAAATATAAATTAATTTTTTAGTATTCCATAATTATTTTATAAAAGAAATAAGTCCAGGGTATAAATAAAAGTGGTTCTGAACATCACAAAAACGCAAATTTTAGTTTACTAAGAAGCCGTAGCAATCCTTACAACTAGTCGTACATCTTTAGTGTACAACATATCTGTCTCAGATGCCAGCTCTGGATTTTATCAAGTTTTTTCTTCAAAACTATGGAAATGAAGACTTATTTCACTTTTCAAATAACCGATTCAGTTAAATTAGACTTATTTCATAATGACACAATTCTCAGTCATAATTTTCAATAAATTATATTTTCCTGAGGAAATACTACTTATTACGTGTAAATCTTCTGCATTATTGTATTGGTTTATTTTTCTTTCTCAATACGTAATAATGGAATCTTCTGTGTGGATCGTGCGTAGATGCATTTGGACGGCGGCGCTTCAAAGGTCGTAATATCTGCGCCCAGCCCGGACGCTCCGACGTTTGTGGTGGGAGTCAACCTCGACATGTACAATCCCAACATGAACGTGGTCTCCAACGCGTCGTGCACCACCAATTGCCTGGCACCACTCGCGAAGGTGATAAACGAGAACTTCGGAATCGTCGAAGGCCTCATGAGCACCATCCACGCCACCACCGCTACCCAGAAGACTGTGGATGGGCCCAGTGGCAAGGTGCGCATGCAAGTCTCTCACCTAGCTTTCTCGTTCGAGTTTTCCGTATCTCCAATCCAGGAAAAAATTTAGTGTCCTATGACTATTCATTATTATTAATAGCGGACCCCGGCAGACGTTGTTCTGCCCATCATCTCCCTCTTTCTCCTACCCTCTCCCTTCCTCGCTCTCGTTCTATCTCTCCGCCTCTTTCCCCGTCTCTGTCTCCATCTCTCCGCCTCTTTCCCCGTCTCTGTCTCCATCTCTCTGTCTCCATCTCTCTGTCTGTCTCCATCTCTCTGTCTGTCTCCATCTCTCTGTCTGTCTCCATCTCTCTGTCTGTCTCCATCTCTCTGTCTGTCTCCATCTCTCTGTCTGTCTCCATCTCTCTGTCTGTCTCCATCTCTGTCTGTCTCCATCTCTCTGTCTCCATCTCTCTGTCTCCATCTCTCTCTCCATCTCTCTGTCTCCATCTCTCTGACTCCATCTCTCTCTCCATCTCTCTCTCTCCATCTCTCTCCATCTCTCTCTGTCACCGTCTGGCTTTATGACTGTCTCTGTGATTGAATCCTTGTTTTTCTGCCTCTCTCTGTCCCCTTCATTCACATTTAGTTGCAGATTCCGCTCATATCTGAGCAGCTGGGGTAATATCGAGGAGCGTCGGACCAGCAAAAATGTAATACAATGTTGAAGAATATCTCATCCTGCCGATTACGGCGTGAGACACTCGTCTTAGAGGCCATTGGCTTCAAAATTTTAGTTTTTAATGCCATAAAACGATACGTTTATGAGTTAATTAACGATATAGATTCAAAAATGCTGCAGAGTGTGGCGGGTTGCATTTGACATACAAATTTAGTTTTGTTCTGCAGCCACATTTAGTGGAGTTACAACAAAATTAACAGAACATAAACCTTCTGGAGGAAAAACACGCATATGCGCCCACTTTGAAGTGTCTACATGAAATGTGCTGCATATCGTTTAGGTGCCAATGAACTTTGTTATTTGTTGCCTTTATAAATCTCCTAGAGATTTCTCGTTCATGAGAAATATAATAAAAAACCAAGCATCTTAATTTCGAAAAAGTCAGAAATCATTACTTACAACCAAATACCTCAATTGTGCACAATTAACCGAACAACGATATGATTTTACAAATTTATTAGTCGGAGCGTAAAAACTGATGGGAAGTTGGTGTCAATATCTTTAGTCGCATACTGGGTAATACACTTCCCGTACTTCTGACGTTAGTTCTTTATCTATCGTTGCAACAGCAGAACGAAATGAGAATTCCAGCGATAAAATGTCATATGTACGTAGACATATGATAGAATACAGTTATAATAAAAATGTTCAAGCGGTATAAATAAAATGCCATAAGCGTGTAATAAAAGCAGGTCCAGGCCTGAGAACACCGCCAGCTGGTAAAAGTTGAATTAATCCGACTCAGAAAGAACATGAATATATGAACACCAAACTAAGAATAAAATAATTTGGTTCGCCAAGGTGGGATCGTTTGCGTCGGTACGAAGGGAGTTTGTTAAATCATCTTTAACTTTACCTCACATTAAAAAAAATCACATTTATGACCGACAACCACGAGCATAGTTGTATTCATGGTGAACATATCTCTTATCGGAAAGTGATACCGGCAAAGGTGGCTCAGGGCATCTTCTGATGTCACTGCAGTGCCTCTGACAGGCAGGTCCTAGGTTTCGATTCCCGTCAGGGGCAGGGTTTTCGACATTCGTTAGACAGCTGGATCGAGTTCAGCCACTTATAGCTGTCTGGATGAGAAGTCTTGTGGTCGGCTGCTCTGATCGGTGGTTTTCCGTGGTTTCTCCGATCAACACCAGGCTGGAGCAGTACCCAAACAAACGGGCCAGGAACCGCGCGCGATCTTTACTTCCTATTCCCGGTTCTATCATCACCCCTTACTTAAACACACTTACACTCACATGCACTACACTATCACACTCGTCGGTAATCCAGCCGGGAGCTTAGACATTGACCCGGCTGGGGCGGTGCCACGCTGGTGGGAGATTCCTGGTTGGGAAAAATCCCTGCATGTCGACGAAGGTTGGCGCCAGAACTCGCCATCCAGTGGAGGGAAGATCACCGCCACATCACGCCATAAAAACATACACTCGCGCCAGGAATCACTTATCAATCATCGAATAGTACCCGCAATGTGTGATCGGGAGAAAATATTTCTGTATCTCAGGGTCACTTGTCACCTCACCAAAATAATAGTCGAAATCGAAAGAACAATCACAATGCAAACAAGAGTTCAATTTTATCAAGAAGTACAAATTTGAGTGCCTTTGAACCGATTATTTAGTAATTTGTGGGAATGTAAGAGCTGAACCTCAACAATTCTTTTGTATCATAAAAGTAACAAATTTGTTAAAATATTGAATAATATAAAAATGAAGCAGTCGTATTTCAGCAATCTACCGACCGTATTCACTGAGTTTTTATTCATTAACCATTTTATAAAATGAAAACTAGTATCATCGTTTACCGATAAGGATGTTTATTACATGATATAATGCATTATTTCTGCGCTGTACAAAACGTAATCAATGGACAAAATTTGGTCAAGGAATTTCAATTGACAAGAATTTCCTCATTTTGGAAATACAACTCTTGGGATAAGATATCTAAGAATTGTAATCAGAGACAAGTGTTAAGTTCTCGAAGCGACTGGGTTCTCGAAGCGACAGGTAAACGCAATGTTCCAGGAAGTAACATTTTATTACCTTGAGGAAGCCTGCGACATGACAAGAGAAATGTCGTCCTCTCAGCCAAAAACGTGGCGTCACCTGGGCAGCCAAGAAGTCATGAACTTGAGCCGCGGAAGCTTACGTGTTCAAGTTACATTTTAGTTGACTGTGTGTTATTGCGACATGGCAAGAGCTTAAACACCCTTCTGAATAGTTTCTGATGTAACAGCATGTCATTAGTGTATCCTAAAATCTGAAGTCACGTGAAAATGCAAGTTCTTATTAAAACTAAGAAGCAACATAAAATCATTATAATTAATGAAATGTGCGTTGGTACTGGCAGCAAATTGAAAAATACACGTACTACTTGACCAATAGACGTTTACAGAGTGGGATGCACGGACAGGGAAGGCCTTCATGCAATCGACACTCACGTTACAGTGACACGTTACCAAGGTGCATAATAAGGAAACGACATTTCTTTCGGCCTTTAAAACGTTTCCGTTCTACGCTGGGTCACGAGATACTATGTGCCGGACGAAATCTACAAAATAAGTCATTTTGGGACGTTTCATTTCATGCCTGAAGGGTACCCCCACGCCGCAGCACGTGTTTTCAGAAATGTTTGAAATTTGTTTCCATCGTAGAGGTTGCTTTCCACTACAGAGCTTTCATTTTTAAATAATGATTTACATATGGCGGAATGTTCGCACAGGTCCAACTAGTATTATATTAACGTAATATTGTAATGAAAATCTGCGTTTTATGGTACTATGTTTTCTAATAATTTTCTGCTCGCCCCAAAGCACTGGCGCGACGGCAGAGGCGCCCAGCAGAACATCATCCCGGCGCAGACTGGCGCAGCGAAAGCGGTCACCAAGGTCATCCCCGCGCTGGAGGGCAAGCTGACGGGCATGGCCTTCCGAGTGCCGGTGCCCGACGTGTCCGTCGTCGACCTCACCTGCAGGTAGACGAAGGCGCGATAACGGACTGAGCAAACGGAAATCACAGGGAATGGTGCTGAATGCACATATTGTTCTCTATTACTGGCAAATGTTATGCGGCCTGATCTTAAAGTATAGGTATTGCGGCGAGTTTTCGTTGGCATTTCCAATGAAATAATTATATGCGTAGTCGTACTAATGTCGACTACGTAGTCGTTTTTGTGGCTTCCGTACAGCAGACAACTGATGATGATCCATCGAAAGCTGCTTTTTTAATAAATAATATCGTTGGCAATGACGACGCATATAATTATTTCATTTATCTTTACGATTTTTTCTATTCCCATTTTATAATTTTTTTATTAAACGGCTTCTTGATTGTTCTTGTTCAGTGATAGTCATAATGGCAATTTCATAGTAGTAGAGGAGTTTGACTAATCACAAATAAATTACAGTTTAAAAGTAATCATTCATTGGTCTCGTTTTCTATTAAATGTTTCGTTTGAGTGTGTGTAGTACTGAACCGAGAAGACCCGGGTGAAAGTGACGGTTAATTGCACATGCCCTCCCTGTTTCCAAACCTTAGATAAAAATAAGAATACTGAATCCCCTTAAGAGAACTGTATCAATTATTCAGGTCAAAAGAAGTAAGAAAAGATATATTTCGTTTATAAATTGACTGCTAACTTGACTCGCGTTCCGATGGTTCGAAGTCGGGCTGTGCCTATACTAAACCATTGCCACCTGTGAGACTTACGTCCGCTAGGTGGCGTTGGCTGAACACTGCATGCCAGCTGCTACAAATCAACATAGAAGTTGAACTCGTAGCTATAATTAGTCTCAGAAAAACTACTGTATGAAACGCGCAATAGGTATTAATGAATACACTTTTATGAAGTTAACAATACTCGCTCGTTCTCGCTCATATCGTAATATCACTTCACACTCGTGTACTAATTCCCAACATTTCATCATTTCATAATGTACTAAAAACTACAATTATTTTAATTTTAATTTTATTTACTTATTTAATGTATTACAAATTTAATTCTTGTCATTGAAATTACTCAACACAAGTTCCAGTACTTTTTTACCCAGAATCTTCCAGTACCTTATCTTCTTTTTTCATTTGTGAATTTTATTTACGGTAATCAGTGGTATGGCTCGTACTCGTATTATCAAGTTCTTGCAGAGGATCGGTTATGGGTGAGCTTCACTACCACCAATAAAAATCTCATTGTCAGTTAACTCACAGTGTCGCATATGTATCTACTAAATACAAATTACGGAAACTGAGATTAGACTAAAATAATGCCACATTAGTAAAACTGCTTCACCGAACATTGCCATGAAAAAATTCTATTTTGCAGAATTTGAGAGGAATTTGAACTGCGATTCCTCCCCGTCCTTTAAAATATGTTTCTTAATTGCTATGATAGGCATATTGCACAGTCCGTCTTATCTCGCGTCCTTACTGATATTGCATCAGCTGCAAAAAGTTTCCTCCGTGCCGTGGCGCCCGCCGGCGCGTCTGCGAGCACGCGCTGTGACTCACAGCAGGGGGTGTGGCTGAGCGGGGAGGGGGGATTCCGAGTGGAGGGGAAGAGTGAGAGGGAGAACGAAGTGACAGAAAGAGATCGTGGCGTCTGGCCCGACTCCTGCCATCTCAGTTTTGTTATGCGGACGGAAACAAAAGAAAAAGAAAAGTGGCTTTTTTAAAACACGCAAAGAAAGAGCTCAGAAATATACCACTCAACAAACCAGTCGTGGTACCAGGGAATGAGGGTCCATAGTTGACTTGGTTAGTTTCTCGCCTTGAACACTCAACACTCGGAGCATTCTCAGGATTGAGAAATAGGTGAATTTGTTTTATTAAAAAATAAGTTTTTGCGTATATAATTGCCATCAGGTCAAACTCAAATAAAACGTCTTGTATCCATTAAATCAAAAAAGTATTAAAATTGCAAAATAACTCATTGTTGACCTAAGTAGAAGCACCGTTGGTCTTGATCTCAATAACCTCAAACAAAGCGCATGAAGGACCGGTGCGGGAGCTTGAGAAAATAAATGCCAAAACATTTTTCCAGAAACAAAGTACATGGTCTGGGAGTGGGGGTTCGATTCGTGCTGAAAAACTCTCAGATTGCAATGTTGACGAGTATAGTTAGAGCTGCTTAGGAACAGGAAGTCATGGACGTACAAATTTGAGGAATGCAAATAAGTAAAATAGGCCTGGTGAATACTACGCGCTAACCATGTGTAATTTCGCAAAAACGACTACGAAACTTTTAACTCCCAAGAACGAAAAGACGTACATGCACGCACGCACGCACTCGCTCACTCACTCACTCAGTCAAAAGCAAACACATCCTTTTTGCGCTAATTTCGATTCATCCGGTTGTTATTTTTAGAACTATGATGAAGAAACATTATGGTCACTTACATAATGGTCATAGTAACCCTCCCGCGATGTAGAACTCTCTGCAGGTTACATTCTGGCCGGGGCGAAAGGCGAACGAGAAAAGCAGAGGAGCACACATTCCAAACGTGACAATTCCACTTTATCCTTTACCTAGAAAAATTAAAAAAATAATCAAGCAATAATTTCAAATTTTACAATCCTGTCTAAGCAAACAGAGTACTTAGTGATTGTATCGTGAGACATTATTTTCTGGAAATAACCTTCTATGAAAAAGAAAAGGCAAGTAGAATTCAATGTTTTGCCAAGTGGTCACGTCACCTTTTGAATGTTTGCACCTATCCCTAGTAGCCCTTATCCGATCCGTAGTAGGCGCTTCGCGTCGCAAGGAGCTTCGGATGGCGAAGGGAATGCAGTTCGCGGGTCAATGGCCGTGCGCGTGGCCATGAGCGCAAAGCTTTCTCTGTGGCGGAGAGAAAGGGGCGGCGGCCGGGCGGTGGCGGGGCAGGCGAGGGCGAAGTGGGGCAGCACAGGCGCGCCCGTTCAAACCTCGCAGCTCCTTGCGCGCGCCGGCCCGCGTTTGCGTCGTGGTTGCGTCAGCTGTTGCAATTCGCGCGTAACGGTTTAGCTTTAGGATTAGGAGTTTTAGGACGGTTGTCACGCGCCTATCTTATGCTCTGCGTGTCAAGTGACTGATGTTAGATCTCTAATGACGAATCTTACGTGTTAGGTGCGATGTCTTCCTTCATATCATTATGCAGGGCTGTAAGTTCACCTGTTACACCAAACTCTTCAAATTGGATGCTGTGTCGTCAGGTGTAAGTCACAGAATCAACGCATAATATTTTGCGCGGTGTAATCCTGTGGGTCTAATGGGTATGTTAAATTCATAATTCTTAGATTGTATATAAGGTTCCTTCTGAGATTCGTCAATGGCATTAGAAACCGCCGCTTCTGAATCGGAAAGCGCACATTTATCGTCCCAAACAATGATAAATTATAAATACCGCATCCAATATAAATTGTTGAGTACACAACGCGGTCTTTGAAATTAGTTGTTTTTTTATGGTTCGTCTATTAGATGACTTTCATACGCATACATATTCTCATTTGTTTTTCGACATAATTTGTATCAACTCTTACAACATTCCTTTTAGGGATGATGTTAAAACAATACAAATCACTCGTGAAAACTAACCGTAACTTCTATTTGTACTTGTGTATGTTAGCTCAGCATTGCCACTGCTCGACCGGGAGGACCTAGAATTCGAATTCCGAGGATGGCGAATTTTTGGGTCTAAGTGGAACGTGGAGAAGCATTATAGCGGCCGGCATCTCTGAACGTTAGATTCTCGTGGTTTCTTGGAACAAAAAGGCGAATGACGGCGCAGTGCCCTAACAAACGGGCCACATACCGCGTGCAATACTTCGTCCTGTTCCTTGACCTCTCATCTCCCCTACACACGCATACACACACACACAAGCACACACACGTTGAGCTGTTTTTTAAAAGGATATCATTATTCTTTCTATATAATGGATAGCCTACAGTCAATGATAAAGTGATGTAATTTCATAGATTTTTGTTTCAAATAAATGGTATTATGAACCCGTTCCACGTAACGGATAGTCAATGTGAGAGTCTAAGTGTAAGGCATGGCCCGCTCTGCCGCCAGGCTGGCGCGGGAAGCCACCTACGACGAGATCAAGCTGCGAGTGCGCGAGGCCGCCGAGGGCCCCATGCTGGGCATCCTGGGCTTCACCGACGAAGAGGTGGTGTCCAGCGACTTCCTCAGCAGCACCTTCTCGTCCGTCTTCGACTCCAAGGCCGGGATGGCGCTCAACAAAACGTTCGTCAAACTTATCGCCTGGTGAGGCAACCCTCATTTTTTCTCAGACAAATATTATTCCTTATGTGCCTTCTGGATACTGCGTCGAAATCATTCTGAGTTACAAACACGAGAAGACGAGAAATCGATGATAATATTTTATATTGAAGACTAAAAATACCATTTGATAATCATCGATTTTATAAAACAATACATGTTCAATGTGGATTAGTAAAACTTTAATTTAGTAATATTTTATAGTCAATTAAAAGCTAGTAATGTGAAGGCTAGTAATTTAAAAAAATTAAATTCTACATCTTTTGATCTAAATTCCCAGTCATCTACATTGATCTGTCTCGCCCGCCCCGCGCAATTTGCTCGTCTTCCTCACCCTATCTGGCCTAGCCCTCACTACCCACTCCTTTCTCTCTGTTCCTCTCACATCTTCCTTTTTCCTCTGCTCCCATTCCTTCCACTTTTCGCTTCACCTCCTCTTTCCGCTTCTCTAGCTCCTCCCACTCCTTTCGCTTCTTTCTCTTTTTCCGCTCTTCCTGTTCTTTCGTTTCTTCCGCTCCTCTCGCACTTTCTGCCTGTTCCTTTTTCCTCTACTTCCATTCCTTCAACGTTTTCGCTCCGCCGCCTCTTTCTGCTCCCCTGGTTCCTCTCGCCCTATCCGTTTTTGCCGCTCCCTTCGCAACTTCCGCTCTGCCCGTTCCTTTGGCTTCTTCCGCTTCTTTCTCTATTTGCGCACCGCCTGTTCCTTTCGCTTCTTGCGCTCTTTTCTCTCTGTTCTTCTCGCATCTTCCTCCTTCCACTACTCCCATTTCTTCCACTTTCGCTCCGGCTGTTCTTTCCGCTCCTTTCGCTTATTACACTTATTTCGCTACTTCAGCTCTGCCTACTCCTTTCGTTTCTTCTGCTCCTCTCGCACTTTCAGCTGTGCCCGATCCTTTAGCTTCTTCCGTTCATTTCTCACTTTCCGCTTTACCTGTTCCTTTCAATTCTTCCGCTACTTGTGTTCATTCGTCTCGTCTCGTCCCTCACTATCCGTCCTCTCTGCCCGCTCCTGTCCCGTTAAGCCGCACCTCACTCTTCACACAAATGCGGCCAGGTGCATTAAACTAATCCGAGTGAAAACCATATTTTGTGGTAACGGTTTGAATCACAAACACGCTATTTCTGATTATTTACAGCTCAAAAGTATTCGTGCCAAATTTGGGGGCATTTACCCCTATGGTTCTAAAGTTTTTGTGGAACATAAAAATATTCATCACTTCTTTTATATAACAGATTACGTGCTGCCCTATATTCATTATTGGATTTCTATCACAAAACTAACTACATTTTCAAAATGGAATTTGATTTGTAAATCTATTTTTTTAAATTTTGATTTGTTAATTAAACAAATTACATTTTCTGTGTTTTTTCTGTTTTAGGTATGATAACGAGTATGGTTACGCCAACAGAGTGGTCGACCTCATCAAATACATTCATGCTAACTCGTAACAATCCTATTTTAAAACCTCACATACTGTAAAAAGGATTTATCCCTTAACTTCCAAAAATTGTAAAAATCGAAAGTAAATGAACATCTAAAGAAAAATGTGTTTTACTTCACAATTCCTAGACTTATAGTTTTCAGTTAATAGATAAATCACATTCAAATAATTAATTCTGCAAGATAAGAATAATAATATATAATCCTGGATAATTATGTATAATAATGTATTATCCTAATGTAACTCTGTCAAGTCGAATCAACGATATATTTACTTTTATATCGGTTTGGGCCAAAAAACGTTGACTTTTTGGTACATATTTTTACACATTTTACTCGAGAGTACATATATTTACATATTTTACTCAAAATAATATGTTATTACACATTATATTTTTTTCGTGCTGAGAGAGAATTTGGCACACGTAAGCACGACGTTTCAGAGCAGTGACATTGTGAACATTGACAGTGACAATGTGGATTCAGTTGTTATTTTTAGTACACCTAACTCAACATTTTTTGAAAAAATGCCGAAGGGCAAAATCCATCTGACATACGTGTAAACTTGAAGCAATTCACAGAAAAATTCGAACACTTTTCTACACATTTCTACATAAGTACTTCTTTGCCAGGTGCATGAAACAAATGTGGTATGTGTTCAGTGATAACAAATCTTGCAATATACATCCACGTCAAACTCGAATTTCGACGATAAATGTCCAAACCCGCAAACAGTTCTTATTGACTGAATCTCATGCTCGACATTGCCTTGAGCCTCAGAAATCTCACTTCTGAATTTATTTGTCAGGTGCTCCGGTTTATACCGACATTCCTATACGGAAATGAATCAATCCAGTGCTACGTGAATTTCTGTAAAAATATCTACTTGAAACAATTCCACACGAATACACAATACGAAAGAACTTTCCCCGATTTGTATAAAGGAATTAAACGGATTACTTTCATTGTTTGGAAACCGATTCCATTTACTGAAAATTGGCGATGTTCCCATTTGGGTAGCAACTGACGAGACAACTGATGTGCAAGAAAATCATATTGGAAACATTATAATAGATTTAATTAACGGGTAAAAGTATACGTAAACTTGTGAAGTGTTACCGAAATGCAACCATCAAATAATTTCGAAACTGCCAGTACAGTGAAATTTGTTTAGCCTGATGGAGTTAAACACAGCAATGTTTTCCTTTAGGTACTAACGCAGTACGACTAAATGGGCCTTGCTAAATCCGAAACTACTTCTACATTACATATTTGAGATTACATTCTGATATTAAATATTTCTTAGATTTTATATACTCGTGTATATTATAATACATATATGTACATATGTTCCCAATTTTTACTTTACCGCTTACGTACTTTTATATTCGTATACGGAGTAATATACCAAGTATAAGGAAAGTTATATAATGCTGCGGAAAATCAGTTTCGAGATTTAGACTGAAATATACGTTTTGAAGTCCCCTAATACCGAAAAAATTATGGATTTTTTGTTTTCAAAACGTCTGTCTGTTCGTCCGTTTGTCGGTCCGTCCATCTGCCTGTCTTGTGAACATCACTAGCGTCTAAACCATGCATAGTATTTTTTCCAAATTGAAAAACAGAGCCTGTCCATCTGTCTCAGGGCAAAGCTTTGAGATTTTGAAAAATATTCTTCAAAATTTGGGGGTACTTCACATGAAACCCCCCGGACATTTCCAAAATTTTCTCAAAAACGGCTCAAAATTTTTTCTTCAAATTTCTTGTAAGAATAAAGTAAAATATACTTATAAAGATGGCATAGGTCATATTTTCAGAGTTAACTCTGAATTGCAAAATTTTGAATTTTTGCGGTGTCTTCCTACAACTACAAAATTGAAGACAGGGATTTTTTCTTCAAATGTAATTTGATCTCCGTAGACAGTTCTTTCATTCAGATCAGATACATTTTTTTGAAAATATTTGAAAATTTGTAGTTTTTGCGTAATATTGCGTGCAATATGTGCAAATAAAAAAAGTACTGAAATAAGATGTTATCAAAAACATCTCCAAATCTTTTCTTTACACTTCTGGTAGGGATAATACTAAATGTATTCTATGAGATGAAATAAACATCAGTTTGCTCTATTCTTTTGTTTTTTAAAAAAATTCAAAAATGTAATTTTATAACTTGTCTCTTACTTCGTTAATATTTATATTAGCGACAATTTGTACAGATTATTGTATTTATGAGAGCATGTATTTTAAATAATGTCATATAAAATTTGTCAAAAACTGAACTGTTTTCGTTGAAGACAAGCAATCTTTGAAACAGCTTTAGTAATCCTTACTCCTGACATGTGTTCAATTAGAGCTCATAACTAATATCTGCGGACATGCATGACACACATATCCACCCATTCATTCGTTCAAATATGGTAAAAACGGCTTTTCTTGTAACGTGAACCCTCAAAACAGTTTTACATTCAAAATCTCCACCTTGAATGTTTGGACCAACTGATATTCAATATACCTATTTTTCCTCTAGTATACTTCGGCTAATCGAGGCCAGATAAGAATGCTTCATTAAAACTTTATTGTACCCCAGCCCCAGTCCATGACCTTATCTCTATCAGATTTTTCATCCAGTTTCCCTGATTCTTTGAGAAAATTCTGAGATGTTCCCTTGTTTTGCTTCTGGATGTAAATGTAACTTCAATATTTGCACACGTTTTTTAGCGTTATGTGGGAGATTTGAATCTACTTATTCAAGTGACCGTTTCTCATCTTCTCACGGCAGTAAGTCAATTGCTTCCCAAAGGGTAAGTTGGGTGATAATGCACGTTTCCACACGCATTCATAATTCAACTTGCTTATGGATTAGGAGAGGGGTGCCAGAATTTAGAAAACGTGCACAGACTTCCCTTTTCTCCACTACGTCGTACACAGTTTTTACTATATTCTACGATAAATAAGTAAACAAATAAATTAACGAATATATTTATTGTCAATGGCAACGACGTCGAGCTTTGTGAGGTAATGTGGAATTATCTGATGCAATCAAGCTCCATGTGAGTGTATATTCTCCCTTTCCCAAAAAGTCTTCTTAGTTCCACCTCTGATCGTTAAAAACATGTCTGATCAAAATTGCATTAACCAAATTTACATGAAAAACATCTTACGCCTTACATACGAATAAATAATTGATTAATAAATATTATAATTTTTCCCCCAGCAGTGAAGTGACCTGTGACAAAACACCATATATAATGTAGTACTGACAATCTTCGAAATATTTTTAGTCAAAACCTTTAATAAACAAGGTATTTCAATGCAAAAAAAATTGGTTTAGTTCTACCCGTTTATTCAAAAGTGAAACTGGAGAACAGACTTCTGTGCAGTAATCTTCCAACTACTTTCGTATGTTATGGAAACTAACAACAATCTGTGATATTGATATAGCCTTAGGTCTAGGTTATATTGATATACTCGTAGTTCTAGAACTCCGCCTTTGGTAGGCACTGGGGGTTCGAGAGGCCCAGCAGCCGCCGTTGCCGTCTCAAGCCCGGAGAAAGGAGGAGGGCTGAGCAATATACCAACAACCTATTCCCGTTATAAAAAAAGTCAGAAATAATAAAATTCGATACTCTTGAGATTTATGATTGGCCTTTAAGAAATTCGATTATTTACAATAAAAATTTAGAAGATTACAATAAATTAACAAGAGGAGCTAGGGGATGGCACAGACTTTCTAGTTCTAGTTAGTGTCCTTTTCCTTTTTAGTCTGCTAGATTCGCGAGAAAAGTTGACAGAAAAAAAATTGGAGCCTTTTTGAGAAAACCTTTTTAATATCCGTAATTGCCGATATATTACAGTTGCGCGAAAATTTCTAATACTTTCAAAACAATGAACATGGCTTTAATTAAAATACTAATTGTGGAAAACAAATTTCATGCAAGTCCTTCAATTTTGCAATTATTCAAATTCCTCTTAAAATATCTTTATTTCTATTTTTTCAATGGTGAGTTTAGTTCTTCACCGATGCAAATAATTTTTGTTTAACTCTACCAGGAATAGCTAATAGATAATTATATTCATCATATTAAATGCAGTTATACATTAATGTAATGTGTTTTGGGCTATTAAATGTTCGTTAAAGAGCCCAACTGAATTCCCTGAGGAAGTGTCTGAACGCCTTCACGATTCAGATTTGCCGGAATTGGGAACTTGAGCCAGTGCTGGTTGAGCGCGCCACCTCTGACGTCGATACGTGTCACTGGAGGGGGACCAGTCACGTGATATGCTCCGTCTTTTATAACAAGTGTTGTATAACCCGGCGACCGCTCTCTGCCCTTAGCTGTGAGTTGGGTAGTGTCAGTTGGTATTGAGCAGGAACATCTGTAAGTACACCTCTGGTAAGTGGAGTAATCCACCTTGTAATAATTTTATTGCACGGAATATCATCTAGTGAGATGGTATTTCGAAGTTCTTGCAATTTTTACCTGTGTCAATGTAATTTTATGGAACGAAAATCGGAGAATTATTTTTTTTTTGTTCTGCCGTTAATCCTGAGATACAATTATATTGTGAAGATATCGTTAAAGTTTTCTTGGTACGGGTCTCAAACGATTTAAAAAGATGTATTATCCCCAAATCTGCAAGTTTGCTTGCCGGCTTCGAGAGAAGAGGGATGACCTTTCGTGACCTTCACTTGTTCTTGCACTTACACGTAATTGCATGGAAACTGGACGATTCTCTTATGTTATGTTTGAATTTTCTCTGTTGCTAGAAGGCAAATAAGAAACCAATCGTATTTTTATGACCTTTTGACTTTTCTGATCGGTTTTAAGTTGTTGCGCCGTATTCTGCTTTATACACTCTTCAAGGGCACTTAATATATTGCTCTTTTTTGCAGATTCTAACTACCCAAAGAATGGCGAAAATTGGAATTAACGGATTTGGCCGCATCGGAAGGCTTGTGCTGAGGGCTGCAATTGAAAAGGGAGCAACGGTAATTAATAATCTTATAAATTTAATTCATATAGTAATTTTTAATATTGTTGAATATGTTATTAAAATGAATTTAGGTGAAGATTAAATTTTTTTTTAATTGCAATTTTATTCTAGGTTGTTGCTGTCAATGACCCCTTCATTGATGTAGCTTACATGTGCTACCTCTTCAAGTATGATTCTACTCACGGTCGCTTTAAGGGAGACATTGCTCCTGATGGTGGAGACTTGATCATCAACGGTAAGATGGAGAAATTTATTTTTATGCTATACTTTACAAGTTGTATGTAGAAAAGACAATTTGACAGTGGTTTATGTGTGATGTTCCATATAATACCAAACTAGTTATAAAGTGTTTTACACATGTTAGGAAGTTAACTACCTGCCTATTACTTTCCACAATCCATGATTTGATTAGTCCTATGCAATTAATTTCCTTCATTTCTTTAGGTTCTATTCGCATTAAGGTATTTCAAGAAAGAGAGGCAAGTAGCATTCCATGGGGATCAGTTGGTGCTGATTACGTTATTGAATCTACTGGAATCAATACCACTATTGCCAAGGCATCTGTAAGCATTTTTTGAATTTTAGATAAAATTTTAAGCCTTGTTTTATCCCGTCTGTCAAGTAAACTATCAACAAAATTGCTGAACGAGTTAATTTTCTTGCAGGCCCATTTGCAAGGAGGAGCAAAGAAAGTTATTATTTCAGCACCTAGTGCTGATGCCCCAATGTATGTTTGTGGTGTAAATCTGGATTCCTATGATCCTAGTGCAACAGTTGTTTCAAATGCATCCTGCACAACTAACTGTTTGGCTCCTATTGCAAAGATCATTCATGACAACTTTGAAATTATTGAGGGTCTTATGACTACTGTTCATGCCTGCACAGCCACCCAAAAGACAGTTGATGGTCCTTCTGGAAAGGTAGGAATTCTTTTTTTGAATTACTATGATAGTAAATAGACTTGAATTCAAAGTAAACTGCAAACACAAGTATTCTTGTTTTGATTAATGCCTTTATAAACTTGCATTTCAAAAATGTCCTTATTGATGTCATTTATAAACTTAATGCTGTGCAGTACTAGCAGATTTTGTGATTCATGCAGAGATATTTTGATTTTTGACAGCTGTGGAGAGATGGACGTGGTGCTGCCCAGAATATCATTCCTGCTGCCACTGGTGCTGCTAAGGCAGTGGGTAAAGTTATTCCAGAGCTTAATGGCAAGCTCACTGGAATGGCCTTCAGAGTTCCTGTTGCAGATGTGTCTGTAGTTGATTTAACTGTGAGGTAAGGAAATTTTCTTTTTTTTAATGTTCTAACAGAGACTTTAAAATGAAAATTTACATATTGCACCTGTAAGATTTGTACAATATAAAACTTCCTCAAATTTCTAATGAGAATTCTGATGATAAAAATGTTTGACATCCTGATATCAAGTTATGCTCTCCAGTCAATGTAATTATCATCAGACCCTGGCAGCCATTTCTGCAAAATGTTAAAATGTACATTAATTTTCAGTGTTCATTCTTTATTGACATGTGTGCATTGCCTAAAACAAGGGGACTAACAACACTTTTGGGGCTTCTGATGCCCCTCTTTTCCGTTGTTTTCTTTTTCTTTTCTTTTTTTCTTTTTAAATTTACTTTGGATTTGTTTTGATAGTAAATAAATATAACATACCACTAGAAAAGTGAATTTATAATTAATACAATTAATAAAAAATAAAATTTTGTGTTCCATCATATGCAGGGTTGCTAGGTATAGAGAGCTTCATTCCAAAGTTTCATGTGTCTAAAACCCTTAATGTCAGCTTAAAGAAGAGAAAAATCAGGGTTGTTCATATTCAGAAGATAGTTTTATTTTGGGGGTCCCATTCAAAATTCTCAGGGGGGCCAGTCCTCTCCCCTTACCATGCACACACCTACAGCTGTTGAACAAAATAAAATGAGAATTTATCAAGGAGTTGCATGTATGTTAATTTTTTTCTGCGTTAAATTTGTATGGTGGTGAGGAAAAATTCTGCTTTTGAGATGGTTTTAAAGAGATTGGTTTTTGTAATTAATTCATTTTATGTGAAAAATAGAAAATGGAATGCATGATGTGAATTCACAAAATTGACTGCAAATAAATTTTGTAAAGAGATCTTTCTTCGCAATGGGTAAATTTTGGATGTAGCATTCAAATCTTTAAGAAAATTGTGAAATTTTCTTTCAGAACTGCAAAGCCTGCTCCATATGATGCAATCAAGCAGAAGATGAAGGAAGCTTCTCAGGGTGCTTTCAAGGGCATCTTGGACTATACTGAAGATCAAGTTGTCTCTTCAGATTTCATCAGTTCACCTTACTCCTCTGTCTTCGATGCTGAGGCAGGCATTCCTCTTAATGACCACTTCGTCAAACTTATTGCCTGGTATGTCATTGCTATTAAGTTAGAAAGTTTAATAAAAGTGAAGATAATCCCACCTTTGTTGGAATTGTTTTTGTATTGGTTATGAAAATTGTAAATTGGTTTCTTTTTCAGGTATGATAACGAATTTGGATACTCCTGCAGAGTGGTGGATCTTGTTACTTTCATGGCTTCAAAGGATTAGACATTGAACTGATCTTCAAAACAAAGAAAGCGTCGAAGGTAGGATGGTCTGCAGTGGATTGTGTTCCATGTATTAGATGAAGACTGTAATGTCACAGAACCAATATTAAATAGAAAATTGCTCTGTGTATTGAAAGAAATGAACTCCTAAGACTTTGAATGTTGTAGTGTAAAAATAAAAAAAAGTAATTTGTGTATTGGCAGAAACACTTCAAAAGGTTCACTTTGACTGTAATAATGAAAGATCTGTGAATAAACCAAAATGTAACCATTCTTCTTGTACTTATTTGACTAGAAATAGACTCAAACAGCACTAGTCGAGATGAGAGAAGATGGTCTTTGTAGAGGAAAGAAAATTGCAGAATGCATTAATATTACTTTTTTAATTAGTATTTAATTTGTATTCCTTCCAGTATCTTTTACAGGATGGCCACATACTGGAAAATGAAAAATTGAGGAATTTTTAGAATCATGAAGTCGGGGGAATATTTTGTGAGGTTATAAAACTAGTTATGACAGTATACATATTTATAAAAAAGTATACTGTGATATTATTTATAAAATAAAAGTATTATTTGCTCAATTACTATTTATTGATTCCTTAAATTTTTACTTTTTCATGACAAAAGAGGTGGCAAATTAGTTACTATTGGGCTTTAATATCCTGTTTCTGTAATGTGATATTACAAATCTGGTCAGTGAAACATTTAAAAATTGCTCTTGAAAACAGAACATACAGGGAATTTTGTTCCAGGAAATGGGTGGACACCCTGTTCTAATGTGTACCTGCCTATTACTTCCCACAAAACAGGATTTGCAAATAATTAGTCTTTTCTTTAATCTACTCATTGAAATTTGGCATTACAGAACCAGCAGTTCTAATAGTTGCAATATTTAAATTCAGGCTATTGATGCAATAGTGGTCTAATACCAAATTCTGTGTTTAGGGAAAATGGCTGCTCCATTTTTAAATTTCAGAAAATGTCTTTAATGTGATTCTTTATAAAACTACATTTGGTATTTCACATACAGTAAAAACTGAAAACCAAAATTTCTCAGGACAAAAAGTTGTTCGTATTTTCAGGAGATTGCTGTTTAAATCAGTTTTTAAGTGTTGGACACTTGTGACATTATTAATGATTGAATGATTTTGGAAACTCTGAAATTACAGAACTTCATATTTATGATTAAAATATGTGCACAGTAATAAATTTACTTAAGGGAACCAGTTATTAAATATTTTTAGTTTCTGAATATTAATATGAACAAACCTCTGAATCCATACCCTACACCAAAATAATACTACTTTGTGTTTTCATTTTTCCCCTTACTATTTACAGTAATTTTACCTTTACAGTAATGTTTTGAAGAAAAAGGAAAAATGAGCAACTTTTAAATGCTTTATAATTAAAAAAAAAACAAAACACAATGCTGAAAATGTCATGTGTGAAAGGTCTTGTTAATAACCACCTGTAAATACAAGAACTACACTTATCGGAATTTTCACCAAAGTTGATATTCCCTGTTCGATCTGGCTGATATTGTGGCCCCTTGAATTTGAAACCATTATTCTAGTTTTTGGAGTTTCATTACATGAAACATCAAGGACCTTTTTCACTTTTTTCGAAAAATGACTTCAAATTTTTTGATTGAACTTTGACGTAGCGTAAAGGATTCATGATGTAGTTCTATTTCATTAAAAACTCTGAATTTCTGATAATTACAAAAGTTCAAAATTTTTTCTGTGGCTCCCTATAACTATTGTATTGAATACAGATTTTTCCTCTAAATAAAATCTGTTCTTGAAAAATATTAAATCAGGACATATACACGTTTTCAAATTATAAATGGTTTTGGAGTAATTTTGCAGAGGGGTAATTTTTCAGTTGGGTCGATGGGGAATATTTATTTTCATGAAAATCCTGCTTCCAGCTTAGCTGCTAGCATGGTTCACTAACAGATGGCAAATATGAATTCTGACTGCACAATTTTCTATAAGCTACATTAAATGTCATACACTTCCCACTTAAAGTCGTGGTAATTGGATAATTCCTAGGCATTTTAGGATCCAATGGGTTCCCTAGACTTCCCCACAGGACATTGAAGTTTCTTTCCTGCATTTACTACCAGCAATGCTAAATTCCTCCATCGTAATTTACAAATTGTGTGTAAAGTTTAATAGAGCTTCTGAGAGCAATTAACGAGATAGTCAGTAGATAGCCTCGAGACGTGATTCCCAGGGTCTTGAGGACACTGACTAAATTTTGCCATAGCCCCAGAGACCCCAAATTTTGGCAACCACCATTGGCAGGATTTTGGCGTTGGGTACTCCATGAAGTTGGGCTGCCAGGGGGATGACTGGTTGGTACTTTACCACCTTTTCCTCCCCTGCTTTCAGAAGGCAAGACCCATCCTCGAGGCAGGCAGTCATATTGACCACGTGGACCCCTTCCCGGCTTTTTATTACCAGGTCAGGTTTGAGTCTAACCCCTTCTGCAACGGAGAAAGTGGCTTCCGTGGACACTACCGTGTCTGATTTCCGGAGCATCTTCCCTTCTATGAAATTTTTGATCTCGTCATGACACTTTATATTTGCTGGCTTCATAAAAATGCACTGACCGAGTATGTGATTCATGGTTTCTACCGCTGTATTACACTTCCTGTAGAAAACATCCTCTCTGGGCCTTCCTTTACTAAGAGTAGTTTTATTGGCAGCAGTATTTGATCTCCATTGGAGTGCAGTGATAAAAAGACCAGGTTTCAGGTCTTTTAAAGTGGCAATTCCAATCAGATCGTTTATATGCGCCCTAACCGCTCTTCCTTTGGATCCCAGCTTCTCCCAGGCGGCTACCTAGTCATCGGCACATTTCTTCTTATAAGCTCTTAAATCTTGTTCAGAATAGGGCCAGTTGAGTCTCAGTGATTTTGCGGTCTTTAGGGTCCGTTGGTAAAAACTCGGACATGAGCTCAACCATCTGCAAATAGGATCTGCAGATTTTTCTAATCGTAATCCTTGGTTCAGCGCAACTCTGGGAACGTGTTGGGCAAGCTCAGCAATCCCAGTCCTCCCATCTCTCTTGGCCGGATAGAATAAGCCATCTGCAGTACTCATATGCAGGAACTGTTTGACTGCCACTCTGATTTGACTGTCCTCTTCCCTGAGCATCGACATTGATCGCATGGATAGAACCAATTGATAAAGGTAATGTGGCATTATATAGGTATTAAGTAATGCCAACTTCTGAGTGGGCTTTAAATGTGCCTTTTAAAGTCTCGACACTGCTTCCATTAAATTCGATATGGATGCCTTAGACGGGAAGCCGTTCCAGATAAAGTACTTCACTCCCATGTATGTAAGAGTATGGTCATTGCTGATAAGAGGAATTCTCTCCCCCAACCTTTACAGGGGTCCTCGATGAACCAGGATCATTCAAAAGTTGTAATTTGAAATTATGAATATTTCACGATGGACAATGTCATTCCGAGATTTCCATCACTATATCAATCAATTCTTGAGCTCCCCGGGCATCCCTTTTGCTAACAGCACCAGATCGTCAGCAAATGCTAACACGGATACACTCCTTTCCAATAGCGTGTATCCTGACATAGTTTTCAATTTTTTCAAGCAGGCACTCCATGATGAGATTAAAATGGAGTGGGGACAAGGCATCCCCCTGTGTTACTCCTCTACGAATTGGCACCTCAATTCCTTTCGAGGGGTGCTGAATGATGGTGGAAACATCGGCATAAGAGTCCATTACCAAATTTGTAAAGACGTCAGGGATCCCTTTCCTGGAATGAGCCCACCGAATTGCTGCATGAGGAACAGTATCAAATGCTTTGGATATATCTAGCACAACACCACCCTCTGTTTTTTTCATGTCACTGACTGCTTCATGAAGAATTTGAATATTAGCGAAGCCAGGTCAGGGATTAAACCCTATTCTGGCGTGGATGTGAAACTTTACACACAGATCGAATAGCGTTTGTCCCACAATGGACCAAAAGATTCTGCATAGATGCGAACTAATTGCTGATGGGTGATATATCCTTACCCTCTTTTGGTATAAGGATGGTGCGATTAGTTTTCCACCCAGAAGGCACAAAGCCACTGAGAGGAAATAATTTACTACTTAAAGAAACAAAATTTATCCAGTTTTTTTATTACCAGGGCCCAACAATTAGAGTTTTTCTGTCGAAAATTTGCTGTTTTTCCATGCTGCTTTACAATACTTTCTCTAAACTCTGTAAGCAGTAGGTGAGAAACTATAAATGATTGCAAACATGTAATTTCCAATGCACACAGAAATTGAAAAAAAACAAAAAACTATGTGGCTTCTAGCCATGTGAAAGTTGCCTGGGTGGGGGAAAGTGGTTTTGTTAGATACCTAAGAACTCTGGGGAAAATTCAAAAACAATGGAACGGTTTTGATTTTGAGTGAACAATGCAAATAGTTAATTGTGTAATTCCCCCTATTCTCATAATGCAGGTAGCATGTGAATTCTACTCAATGATACTCCTGACGTCATGTGAAAGCAAGGCTTTAAGAAAGAGGCCACCTGCCATTAACTGCTTGTAATTAACATACTTCATTGCATATTGCGTTATTAATGTTGATATTAACATTTATGTTTATATTAACTTTTTTATTATCTTTGTAAAAAAACTTACTATTCTTTTATTGCAAAATTATGAAGACATTTTGTTAAAATACTTAATTTCTCACATCAATTGATATAAGAGATTTTTTTTTTGCCCTTGAGCACTGCATGCTACTTTTGGAAAACCATCATGTGTGATCTTGTTCAGCACATTCTTTGCTACTGCGTGCTGCTAGTTTTGTTACGAATTATACAACTAGGGTCATAAATGCAAATTGACGGGGAATGCACAAGTTTGACCTCCTTAGCGAATTTGGTGTCCCCTCCTGGAAAATGTTAATGTGTTTCCGCCTAACTCAATAATTCTGTACATAGATGCTTCAAGATTTTCACATTTAAGGTTCAAATCCTCAAATAAAGGTATTTGAAAAAGAAAATTCTCCCAGTTGGAAGCTTAGGTGCAATTGCAAGCTGTGTGTGTTGTGTTTTGAAGAACTTCTGTTTTTTGACAACTTGTTACAAGTACTTTTCAACATCATCCAATTTCTTTTTGGTTTTTATATTAATATTTATTTCAAAATGCTACCTATGCCAGATTTTTAAACATCTTTTACTCTTTCTGAGGAAAACATCTGGAGAATTTTTTTTGGGAAAATGTTGAAACTGTTGTTGTGGAGTAATGTAAAATACCCCCTCAAGTTCAAAATATTCATTTCATATTTGCAGGTCCTGAAATTTGGCCAAATTGAGAAGAGAATAACAGTTGTTGAGAAAATGCCCTCAATGGTTTAGGCTCTAGCGTTGCACATAGACTGATTTGATGTTTTGCTCTCAACCGATTTTTCAGTAACAAGGACCCACAAAATGTGGATAGTGTTCACAAATGAATTAAATGAAATAATTTACTACATATAAGAATGTGATTTATGGACTTTTTTGGTATCAAAGCTGAATTAAGCTAGTTTTTCTGTAAAAAAAAAGTCAGTTTTTGCCGCAGCATGGTTCTAAATAATTGGTATGCGAAAAGATAAAAACAAACAACCTCCTACAATTTTTAATGTTTTGTTTATTAATTTCATGCCAGTTGCTTCCTTCATCCAATAGAGTATGCATATGATTGTTCATAAAAAATTTCTACTGATTTACACTGCTGTGATTGCTCTGAGAAACCTACAATCCTCCTTTTCAGCCTCATGAAATTTTTAATTGAACATATTAAGAATTATAATTCGTTGATAATTAATTTTTAAATCCATAATCACATCTGCCATTATCAGTAGGGTTAATGTAAATAAAATTAACTCTTGTCAGTGAAGTATGGGTTATCTCATGAGACAGTTACAGTTATTATTCACAGTTTGTCACTCAAGTTCACATAGCAAACAGTTCTCATATAACATGGGGTGATCTCTTCGCTTTGATTTCTTGTACATTCAAATTATACTTTAAACCAGAAAATAAAGTAAATCTTGAATAATTATAACTTTTTTAATGAATTCATCAATTTTGTGTGTGGTTCATTTACAGATTGTTCGAATTTTTTAAACCCAACAAATTTTACCAAGAATAGATTATGGTAAAAAAATAATGAAACAGAAGAAAAAAATCTTGCTTTATGCAATACAGCTTGCATTCGATGCAATTCTTGGCCACAGATCAGCACATTCTTTTGCAACAGGCCCAGTAATAGCACTTCCTAAAAAAAGTGAAGAAAATTAGTGGTGAAGGTTAGGTTAATCGTATGATTATTTATGTCCAAATATACTTTTAAAATATACTTGAAATATATTTGCAATAATAATAATAAATTATTAATTTATGAATTGTGGTTTGATTAAAACAATTCATGTTTATTTATTAATTATAATTTTTAGCAAACTTACAAATAACTTTTAAACATTGAACTGAAAGTTAAACTTCATTCACATTATCTTGTTACATCATTAATTAAACAAATTAAATAAAAATTGAGCATGCATTACTTCAAATCAAAATTCTTGTTAAATGATGAAGATTTATCAAAGAATAATGAGTGTGTTGTTCTGGAAAGAACTGAAGTCAATGAATCCAGTGGTTAAAGTTTGATCAGACCCTCAGGTTCCTCATGGACAGCTTGTTAGCTTTGTGAGGTGCAACCTTGGGTTTGATTCCCAGGCAGGGTAAAAATAGAGCTGTAGCTTTCTATATACAATAGTGTTTGAAGCTGTATGATGAAAGAAAACTAGATGTGGTGATGGGAATAAATCATGCTCGCCACATACAGGCTACACAGTCGCCACATACACATACTTTAGCTTAACTCGCAACCCATGTCTGGAAACATCACCTCTTGTTTTGGCAACGCATGAAATACCTTTGGCATCCCTTTCTCTTTTAGCAACCCGCAGCCGCATGCCCTCAGATTTCGGAATGAAAGAATGTGGCTAATTTTAGTTGGAAGAAAAAGGAAACACTTATTCTGTTCTTGTTAGTCTTCAACATACTGCAGCCCTCCACTGAAAAGAGTAAATGCCTGCCTCTTGGCAAATGATGGTTTCTTTGAGCATTTACTTGACAGTCTGTTGTTTTTTTTAAGGAAATTGAATTTTATTATTTTTTATTAATTATTTTCAATAATTATTAATTTAACTAGCTGATTTGTTTTATTGGTATTTTTAAATAATTTTTTTAAGGCTAATTTTATTTGCTTAGTAATCAGATTCAATAATAAGAATAAGAATAATAATAATAATAATAATAATAATAATAATAATAATAATAATAATAATAAGAATAGAATAAGATAATAATAATAATAATATAATAATAATAATATAATAATAATAATAATAATAATATAATAATAATAATAAAAATAAGAATAAAAATACATTATAAATAATAATAATAATACATTATTATTGTTATAAATAATGAAGAGCTTGGCCGGTAATGTTTCAGGAGATATTTTCCTGATTTCTCTCTGAGCCAACTTTCATTAAATAATAATTATTATTACGTTGGTGTTAATAAATTGATTAACAGTCATAACTTCTTTCCACATCTTCAGTATTACAGTTTTGTTTCTTAAGCATACTGGACAGAATCACCTAAAGAGACATTTTGTTTCTAGCCCATGTCTCTACTCACCCCTCCCCACCCAACCTACTCTGAGCAGTGAGAAAAGACTCAGGCGTGTGAACCACATACCTACTCTCACCTAAGCTCTTAAATGGGGAAAGCACAGAAACAGGAAAGTTGCTGTAGCTTATGACCTGACGGTCGCCTCTGCTGTCTTGAAATATGGCAAAAACACATGGTTGCAAATTGCCAAAACAAGAACAAGTGCTCTCAGATATGGATTGGAGTTTAGCTAAAGATCCTGTATACCTTATCTCCTTACCCTCCAGGTGTTGATAAGAAATTAAAACAAGGCGCTGGCCTTAGAACACTGCTATCTGGCAAGTCAGAGTAATCTGACCCTAAATGCCAAATATGAAATAGAAAGTTTGATCTATTACCTTTCAATTAACTTATTCTTCAAACTGAAATTTAATTCTCAACAATTTCTAAAAATAAATTAAAAAAATGTAATGTTGCAAATATTTGACAATAATATCATACAGTGTATGTATATCATACATTGGACATATAATGTATGTGTTTGGCATTTTATGGTTGGTTTTATCATTGTGCCAGCTATATAGCAATGTTCTGAGGCCTGAAGCCTGTTTTTACTTATCACACCTGTGGATAAGGAAGAGATGTGGTGAGCATGACATATTCCCATTACTGTATCTAGTGTATTTGGCCTGCTTGAGTTTTCTTTTGTCACACAGCTATAGAAAGTAAGGCAAGATGTTTTAGAAAGCTACAGCTTCACTTTTGCCCTAGCCAGGAAACGAAGTTGGGACACAGAAAGCTAGCACACTTATCCATGAGCCACACAAGGGGCTGAAAAATTTATAAAATAAATATTTTACTTATGAAGTTTAAACTCTTCATTTAACAAAATAATACAAAAAGCTAGCATAGTTAGTTTTTCCAATAGTATAATAAACAATTTATAATAGCTTTACTATATTTTTTTTTTGTTAGAAAGTCCCCTTAGTTCACATTAAATCAAAGGGGTATGGGGAAAATTTATATCAAACCTCATTGTTGTTTTAAGAATACAATGAAAATGTGTGCTTTATTCTTGAATGTAAGTGTAAATAATGTTTGTATCTCCAGAAGGAGAGGCTGAGAAGTTCTTTTTCTCTGATTACATAATATTATAGATATCTCATGACCTATAACTAAGTGTAGTGCATTCTGTTGTGGTACTTAATTGCAGAATTAATAATAAATCTAAAAATGTAATTCCAGTTAAATATGCATATATTATTAAATGTTATTATCTGAAGTTAAAGATATTTTTAATTTAAAGAGAGATAAAAAGTCTAACCTTTCATTTCTCCTTTATTATTTACTATTACTCCAGCATTGTCTTCAAAGTATATGAAAACTCCATCTTTCCTTCGAACAGGTTTTCTCTGCCGAACGACTACAGCAGGCATTACTAAACACAAATATTAACATTTTCAATCTATTCAACTTACAATAAGTCATATATCAAAAACCACACAAATAATATTATGTTACAGAAAGAACATTTACTTTTACAAAATGTCTTTAATAGAAAAAGTAAAATTTTGTAAGGGAAGAAAAATTTAGTGTTCTGCAACTCTTTTGGCTATTTCCCATTCTTCATACACATCTTCATGCTTTGCATATTTTATTTTTAATGGCAGTTTTCATATGCTTTTTTAGGTATTGTTCACACGACTTACGGTTGAAAGATAATTTTGAGAAAAACACAAACAAAAATTTGTAGCACTTTTTAATACCATTTTGTATGCAACCATTTCAAAATGTTTTAGACATAATTAGCTTTTTGACAAAGGATGTAGAATTTTCTGCATAATATATTCACTCTACTTTCTATATATGATCGACATGAAAACCTGAGATTGACAGCAATCAGCACTGGTGTTGTAGTGATATAAATCTCAAAAGGATTGAAATTTGGGCAGTAAGAGCATTAACCCTAAAATACTAATGCATTTCTACTTATACTAAGTACCAACTTTGTGTAAAATTTACTGACATGTTTTAAAAATTTAAGTAAAAGTATATATAATACTGAAAGGTAATATTTTTATTAATCATTTATTTGCAAATAAGGAACATCATAAGAATTGGATGTACATTTATTAGACCAATTTTAATAAATAATTGTTCAATATTTGAATAATTGATAAAATTTATCAAAAGTTGCCTTTCATATTAAGATAAGAATTTACGGGCAAATGATGCACATTTCCTTCTGATATTCACCACAGTACTTGAGCCTTTTTTTGGAGTAGTGATAATAAGTACTAGTTATTTCCTTGGTCCTTTGTTCTTTTCAATGCTTTTTGTATGACATTCTTTAGCTCCTTATTCAGACTGGGTACTTGGGTTCTGAAGCCATTTGGTTTTGCCAATAACAAGTGTGCGTGTTTTTTATTTTTTTTATTTATTTCTTTATTGAAGGTTGCATTAACTACTACGTCATTAGCGACCACTATTGCGTGTAACGGTATGGTAACTATGAGGATGACACGATGTGATGATAGGGGTGTGAAAGGACGAACACAATACAACCATGCCCGAGGCGGGACTCGATCTCACGATCCTTCGGTCCGAGATCGCTACGGCACTTCTGCCATAGCGATCTCGACCAGCCGGACCAGCAACAAGTAAGTTGTTAATGTAGTTCCAGCATAAAGTTTAATCTTGACTAAGGAGCTTTATTAAAAAAAATTAAAAATTAAGATCGTCAATTACATAAGAATTTACTGCTGCTATATTCAGCATATTATATACCATGCACAAAGGCCATCTCCTGTTTTCATGGCCACAGTTCATATTCTAACGCATTTTGTCCAGAGTATCTATGATGCCTTTCGTTTGATTGTGAGAAGAATTCCTGGCTTCTTTGTGCTGTTGTGAATCTTCTTTGTGTTTGTGACTCCTAATTCATACTTGATACCAGCATTACAATTTTGTTTCTTTTTGGCTTATAAACAGCAGTAATTAATTAATCAAAAACTTTGGGCCTCTTTTTTTTTGAAGATTTTAATAATGTCCCAGGGGTTTTTCCTATACTGTCTCCATAATATTCACAAGTATTTCATTCCCAAAATCACTTATATCACAAAAATTTCGCAGTGCTCTCGCGGCTAAACTGTCAACTGCAGAAAAAATGAAGCTTCATGACATTGACAATGTAGGTAATTTTCGTCTTACTGTTTTTTTGTTAAAAAATGCGTTTCTAGGCAAACGTCTTGTTGGCAAACCTAAAGTGTTCAGCGACCTAAAAACATACAGGAACCAAATATTAAAACTACACCAAAAGTTTCTACTATTTTCAACCATTTAACTGAACTATTAATCAATATCTGATAAAGAATTTGAATATTTAACGTAACTGTGCGATGTAATATATAACTAAGGTATGTTCCCGAAGATTCGGAAAATACAACTGTGATTCCTGTTCCCAAATTAAGTAAGGACAACAACAAATTAGAAAACTATAACTAGTAGTACAGCGCGAGAAGATGCAAGTAATGTATCTGTAATCGAATTTAAATACATTTTTTAACTTTTAATTGTGAAATATTATTTATACTAGCAAAATTCCCGGTATTGCCTGGGCTTTCTTCAAATTCAAACCTTGTGAAAGAGAAAAGAGGTCAATGTTATATAAACCAGTGTTTAAGATTATTATTTTCAATGTAATTGGCTCAAGTGTTAATTAAATACTGTAATTTTATTTCATTTTACAGTAAGTACATTGCTATTAGATTAAAATGTTTCATCTTATGCGTAGTTAGCCTTTAGCGAACTATTCGATAGCTGTTCTGCTGCACCTTATTTATTATTTGCTGTCATTCCTCGTGATGTTATTCATTTTCAATGGGCATGAAATTCATTAGATTTAACTTTTTTTTCTTAGAAATTGGGGAAAAATTCTACTTCATCTGTTGCATATTTATATTCAAGAGGAAATTAACAAAATATAAAAATTTATTTTTGGCCACATTTAGCAGAACAATTCTGTATTACTGGCGTTGTATCGAATGTAGCCAGCGTAGTGTTCTTTGGCCCCCGTCGTGCAGAACGCTTGAGTCTGACCAACACGTCGAACGGCGTTTAACACGGAGCTGCGCTACTGTACGATACGTATACTATATAGTATATTTTATTGGCAGTAAAACATCCGTTTAGAGCCAACCCATTGATAAAAGAAAATTAAAACAAAGAAAACAAATTACATAATGAATAAGAAGACATGAAGAAACGAACAAAAACATGTTTTCATATAAAATGTACGTAAAAATGATATAAAATTAAAATATTTTCTTAATCTTTAAAATAAAATTTACAATAATTGGGATAATATTTTATTCAAAGGTTGTCAATGGTCAGTTGATCGGAAGGTACTTCAGGTTAGGCAATTGCCGTTTGCTGATGGCGCTGTGTGTGTGAAAACGGTTCGCAATATTTCTATAATAAAAACATTTTTATGATTGCGGGTCTGTCAGTACCCGCTGCATTTCTTTCCTATTCTTTAATGATCTCAGCGATATAATGTATTCCTAAAGCACTATAGGAATTAGTCTCTGAATTGTCTGAGACTACATTTTTACAATACAGTTTTAATGTAATTATTCATGTTCTGCCATTCTCAAGCCTGTCATTAACTATTTAACATTGTTATTAATTCGATTTTGATTCAGCTATTTACGAATACAAGATGGTACTGTGTAACTATTCGAAGTCTTTCATTATCTATTTCTTGCATTTTAATTAATAATACTGCCTACACTAGTAGTTAGTCCCACAATAAACTCTATAGCCAGCTGAAGTCAATGAAGATTGCCTCAGATGTTTCCATGTATTGTACATGAAAACATCTGAACCATTGACGTGAAGAAGAATTTTGTGTAGGAGAAGTTATACCACTAACAAACGAGTGGTGACTACTTAAATACGTTTCACCTTTCTTCCTTAGTTCTGGTTTGCCCTTCTTCACCGTGGCCACAATCATGTCACCTGATCCCGCTGCAGGAAGACGGTTGAGGCGCCCTTTGATGCCTTGCACGGCAATGACGTATAAGTTTTTCGCCCCTGTTGACAAAGATCAAGGTACATTCAAGTTGACCAAATAAATGACCAAGATGATATATTCGTATAGTGCACGAAATTATACTGTTGCTTATCTGCACATGTTCATAAGAATGGGCTACATGGCGTTCTCTGTTCTGAAATAGTAGTTTATGCAATTAGTTTATAATGAAAAATACATACATTAATAATATAAAATCAGAATTGATCACTCCTTTTTCAATTTCAATATTATTTAGTATTTATACAGAACCGAATGGAAATATTGTGATCTCAAAGCATGAAATTGTATTGGGGCACCCTTTCAAAAAAAATTCTAATTTACTAAAAAATCTAATTTTGAGAAACAAATACAAATGAAAATTAACAAATTACTTACAGAATTGAATCTGACTTTTTTTCAAATGCATTTTTAATTTCTCATCATTTTGGTTGCTCTTAGCTTCAATCAAGCAATTTTTAATTATTAAGGTAGTTAAAGGGATCTTATGTTTAACACGCCTCTTTTATTGTATTAATCAAAAGATGAAAGGTTGTTCTATGTTCTGGTAGGGTAAGAATGGATTTCACCGTCTAGTTGTCGCGTAATGGGACCGTTAAGTATGTCCTTTTAACAAGGGTTCTCGTGGTGAGCTAACAAATCCGACCTGGAATTTTAAAATTTTGAGAAAACTAACTGTTGAAAATGTTTTTTAAAAACTCTTCCTTAGGTAGCTAGCATTGCGAAGAATCAATATGCGCAATATGAATGACATCTACCGTTTCAAATGGGGGAATTTGGTAAAATTTCCAATCAGTCCAAAGGGAGACGCGCTTTCTAGCGAGCCGGGCCGGTAATGCGGGACTAGGCAGCATCTTAGCCGCCTTCATTTAGATCGAGTGACAAGTCTTGGGCAAGAGATTTTGCATTCATCTGGGTCTTCTGGGGGCAATTCCAAGCTTAACACCTGGAAAACATTGCCTTTAATATTAACGAGATATTCAGAGAAGCTGAAATGTGATGGATATAATGATTGGTGCACTCTGAATAAAAAACTCAATTCAATTAATACTCCAAATTAAACACTTTGATACTACTCGCTATAAGAAAATGGGTGATCTTAAGCGTATAGACTTTGTATACTACAGCATTATTATTTCGTATTGTGCCGTATGTAAACTTTTCGACTTTTGCTCCTGAAAAAATGATTATTTATTTATTCGATTATTCGAAAATGATTCATATTATCTTTTATTATGATACACAGTGTATTGTCATTGCCTTCTACATCACAGAGCAATATACCTACACATGACTCAAAGCAGCAACCTTTAGCTTAGGTCAGCACTTCAATGAACTTTTTAGTGCATCAAATTGAATGAAATGATCTTTCTGCTATGTTAAACCATTCAAGTGTATGGTGAATGTAGAGATGGCCCACTACAAAATAACATGGGGCATGGATCCTTGTCTCCGTGCCCAAATTTTTTAAAATAAATATTCTCAAAAATTATATATTAAATGTTTTTTATCTGAATCATTAATCAAATAGTTTACTGAAGCTACAATGTTTGAATTTAAAAAAATTGGATTGAACAATAAGAAACTAAAACATATTACTTTGTAAATAAGAAATTACAAAATGTAATTTCACTTTTGAAAGCAATTTGTTTATTTACATCTGCATTTGACAAAGGATTTATTCTATCAATAAATTAGGTTATTTAGTTAATCAAAGAGTTTTTTGGAGTGCCAAATACATTTTGTGGCTTGGAGGCTCACAAGTATCTGAATCAGCCTGAGCAAAATTAATTGAAATTGTATGAGTAAATGATAACTTCAGTGTTTTTGGTAATATATTATTTTAATATTATTTTCTCTATACCACTATATTTTGTCTAATTGTTGATTCCTAAACAGTAGTAATTGCAATTTGAAATAAGCTCATGACTTATTTCCAAAACATATTTTCATTTTAAGTGCAACATAAAAGAAAAATTAAAAAAGGCCATGGCATTGGAAACTCTTTTGAAGATTTTATCTCATCAATGTCTATAATTTTAATTACTGAGGGTTCTAAATAAATGCAGCTCTCAGATTTCATACATCATGTCTTTGTCAATAGAGTAATTTTGAGTATTTGCTGAGTCTATTGCAGTTTTATCAGTGGAAGCGGATCGCAAACGAAAATGTGTAGAAAGCGATTTTTTCAGTTTTAATTGTATTTGGTAGTGGTTTTTTTTAATTTTTTTTTAGGTCGCACAAACTTACTAGGTCATTAGCACCACTATTGCATTGTAACCGGTATGTACACTGTGGGTTGACATGATAATGATGATTATAGGGGGTGAAAGACGAACCACAATACAACCATGCCCGAGGCGGGAACTCGACCCGCGATCTTCGGTCGAGTTCGCTACGGGCCACTACTGCCTTAGCATTCCGCCACCGGATTTCGGCTGTTTTGACTGTATTTTGTTGTCATTGCCCAGATCACCATATTTGTTTATGTCACTATATGCACAATGACTGCCACCTTACGTCTATACGCATACACTCATCGGTTATCTCATCGACACCTGATAAGAGCTATCACATACAGCGCCCCCTCATACACGCCCGCAGACCAGCAGTGAAATGATCGGTTTTACATACGTCTTGTAAATGTAAGGTTTTGACTTAGTGGGTGCGTCAGAACAGGTGTCCCTGAGTTCAGTCGTCTGTTTGCTTTTTGTGTAATACTGTCAACGTGTTTGTTCCATAATAGTTTGTAGTCAAGAGTAATGCCGAGATATTTGATGTCATTGGTCCAGTTGATTGCGGTGTTGTCTAAAGCAAGTGGAGGTGGAGTCGAGTGCATTTTGTAGTGATTTCCTCTATTGAAAAATATGGCAGTGCTTTTGTAGGGTTTAGTCGATGTTTGTTGTCTTTCGCCCAAGTAGTTATGGCGCCTAGGTGCTGTTATAGTCGTACTGAGTACGATAGTCAGTATTTTGGCACTGTCAGTGCTGTGTTGTCTGGGTATATGTCGTCGATGTTCCGTGATGAGGTAGGCAGGTCGTTGGTGTAGAGGGAGAAGAGGATAGGGGAGAGGACAATTCCTTGCGGCACGCCGGTGAGGATGGGTCTGAGGGAGAAAGATGAGTTGAGGTGGCCTATGTAAAAGGTGCGGTCAGTCAAGTAGTTAGTAACTAGTGGAAGAAGAAAGTGATAGATATGAGGGGTGATTTTATAAATGAGTTAGTTGTGATTGACAGTATTTCAAGCTTTATATTACAATATAAAGCTTTATAGAATATCGGAGAGACCTAAACTACTAATTTTGTTAAGGAATAATAATTTAAGGATTACCCTATAAGTAATGCAGCGATGTAGCTCAGTTTTCCGTGAATCAGATCACTTTTATTCCGTCGGCCCGCCTTATTTTGCTGACAAAGGAATTTTAAATATTTTATTCGGTAATGAAAATTAGTTCTCTATTGTACAAGAAAACATATTTGGCCTTTTTGCAACAGCAAGTAGTTGGCTTGAATTTTAGATATTGTATTGAAATACTGCACTTTAAAATTAATATTTCCTTGTTTCTTATGGTACATCTCGAAGCACAAACGACGTGATAAGCTTAACAGAAATGTTTCCTGTGTACCGCAGTCTCATAAGAATAGTTTTGGAGTTAAGGAACGGGAAGAAAATACGCCTTCATAAAATTGGAAACGTTCGAGACAAACTAATTTAAATTAGTTTGCGCAATTAGTTAATTAGCAAAACTAATCTAGCAAAGCGCTCCACCCCATTGCGGGGTTCGTCAACACCATCGAGCGCGTAACTTCTGACTCATACAGTACAGCAAAAAAGTTCCTCATTTGGCATCATTGTCGCCCAAAGAGACGTAATTCTTTCTTAATCTAGGACGCGTCATATTGTACAAATAATATTTTCGCCTACTTGACAGCTGGGGTGGAGGTAGAGCGATGTTGCCACTTACTTGAGCGCCAGATACGTGGTCGTTCTTGCATCAGATCACAACAGTAGAAAGAAACAAACCTCAATATGAGCACACAATAGTAGTAGACACAGAACCGCACTCACGATATAACCAAAGAAGTAATGGCGCTTTTAAACTTGCAGTTGCTTCGCGCTATGAGATTTAGTTTTTTCTCAAGTACTGGCAACTGTGCAGGTACATCATAACAGTTTCAAGCCTCTAATTGGATAACGGAACTCCCTCTCCCCTGTTAGCAGGACAGAACAGCACATTAGATAGAAGTATTATTCGTAGTATAGGAACTTGTCGCTCGATTTGAAAGAAGCGCACTACGTGCTGTGTTGCCGAGTTGTGCGTTATCTTCCCGACCTTCTAGAAATCGCCCGAACGTCTGCATTCGAACCGACTTAAGCATATTATTTTGCATAATTATTTTTTTGAAACGGTAGGTGATCTTTAAACGCATTCATTCTTTGTGATACTAGCCATTCAATAGGGAAACAAATTAATTTCTACATTTCTCAATACTTTAAAATTTCTGGTGCGTTTCTGTGTGGTCACCGGAGTCAAGTTTTAAAGGGACAAATTGCAATCTTATTAAACGAAAACTAGACTGTGGAATCGATTCAAATCACAATAATATAGAAGTACCATCTTTTGATTAATACTATGAAAAGGGCATCTTAAAAATAACACGAATCTTGCCCTAAACATAATAATAGCATAGCCACGATCTTAAATTAAAAACACATTTTTTTCAATTGCTCCTTTCTATGTGCAGTCTCTAGCACCAATCAGCTAACAGTCATGACTACTGTCACACTGAATTCATTATTTATATTTTTAAAATAAATTAGTATATCATTTGATATCAAATGAGAGTTCTTTAAATCCATTTTCAAGGAATTTACCTGTGTTGTCAGCGCAATTTATGACTGCTCCGACGGGTAACGCAAGAGAGATCCGGAACTTAGAACCCGATGTACCACCACGACCTGAAAAAGATGGAAATATTCTATCAATGTAATATTAAGATAATAATTTCATTGCAAACTATAATTTTATTTTAATTATTTTGATTTTGTGAGTTAGTTAACAGGTACAATAATATTTTTTAAAGATTTACTGTTAAGGTGATTGCATTGCCTTCAAAATGACAGACGCAGTTTTTCGACAACAAATGCAATGAACTGGTAATATTTTGGGAAAATTTCACAGGCGTTTGAAGTCATATTACGCGTGTACAAAACTTTTTATGATTATGCTGTAATGAATATTAGTACATTACACACTCCATTCCCTATACGTAAATGCAAAATAGAATGAATATAAGACAATGAAAATGTGATGAATACCAAATTCGTACTAGTGCTTATTTAATATGGACTTTGCTATAATAAATGTGAGCAAATTAATCAGTTTGTGCCTCTCAAATGACCCATGTATTTTTTTATCGAATCTTTTGTATTTAAAATGAAATCATTCAACTCAGGCTTTTTATAACGTGTCTCGAACCCATTGAAGATAAAATGCTAAATAACAAAAGCTGCCCTACTCATTTCACATTCTTATAAGTTATGTGAAGCACAATCATTTTTATTTGGAGACAAATATTTACGTAATGCAAACGCTCTGGCAACATATTCTGTTTGTATAGTACTTTAACACGGTTATTTGTATCTATCTAATGCATGGTCAGTAATGTTCATCCTTGCTCATAGCCAGTGCATACCTTATAAAAGTAGAACATGACTTTAGAAGAAATATTAAAATATATTAGAAGACAGTGAAGCAAAAGAGCAAATAAGTCATTTAAAATTTCAGAGAGATACTTCATTCAGAATGTAAATAAAAGCAAATAAAGCATTATAGTTTAAAGAACCTACCTCTCTTTGACATTTTCTCTTCGAAATTAGAATATGCCCGTTAAAAGGGTTTCTTCGCTGAGAACAAACGACACAATATTCAACCTCCTGTGACGAAATAGTTCTCTTCCCAAATGAATCAACAATGGTCACGTGCCTTTGCAAACCAATCAAAGAACTGACCTATTACTTCCTCCCATGAAGATTAGTTTTCATGCTTCCTTCCTTACTTATCAAAGAAAAACTATACAATTAGAAGATCACTAATAATTTTCTTTAAGAATACAATGAATAAAAGTAGGCGGGGAATTAAACACTAAATAGTAATACCGTAAATGTAATCCTATTAAATTTTAGATGCTATATTTAAAAAAAAAGCTCTACCAATGACAAGGTGGGAGTTTAATTGATACATTTGATTTAATTGTTACATTGATAAAACGTGAATAATATATAAATTTGGAGAGACTATGATATAAGTATTTTTATTGTCTCATACAGATACATGATATTAACACCCTTTCAATTATTTTTACCATTTATGTCTGCCAGTCTAATCATGAAAACGATTTTAATGGATTTTCACTAAAAGGAAGAGTGTTTTGTCGGACATATAAATTAGAATGTTTTGTTATGAAAATCTAGTTTTATTTCAACCTACACGAAACTTTGTGTACGTGTATCAAAAGTAAGAGAAAAGTTTCTGTCTACATGAGATTTCGTAAATGTAATATATATTTCCGTTTTCTACATTTTAAATTCAAATTTAAGTGTGTACTCTTCATTTTCCGCGATAGTTTCAAAACGGACAGTAAATCCACCAAAGGTGATGGTTTCTAAAACCAATTTCATTTTAAGTTACACAAGTTATATTTTGATTCTTTGGAATAGCACAGTGCACATTTTAGTATTGAAGATAAAAATTGTTACTGGAACTTTGCATGGAGTAAACAACAATGTGTGAAACCATCCGTTTGCAGCTGCGCATTCCAATGAGATTTTCCACAACAAACATAGCATGACCTGATGAACAGTGTCACCAGATGTGTTTAGGGGAATTCCGCC